CGCGTCGCGACTGGAATCGCGTGAGGTATGGCCAAGGCCTTAGCAGGTTATCACCTTCAAACTTCAATCGACCATATATCTACATGACATGATTTGTTGCGAATTTGATTCAAGCTCAAAAATCTGTCGGAACCCGTCGCCATTATTACGACGAGAAGTATGACCAACGTAAGCCGGTTTGTGCAACCTTTACGATCAAACATACCATTGAATAGGAACGTAAAAGAAACAAAAAGCGTAGCAAGACCGCAAATGATGTGACTTGCAGCCTGTTGCCGAGTAATTCCATTCGTACGCAATTGTGCGTTGGTGTGACGGCGTGGACGCGAATCTGCAACGACGTCCTCTTCTGCTCTGCTTGACGTCGTCGTTGTTCAGCTGAGTTCATCTACCGATGACGATGCTACCAAGACGGCCATTGGCTGCACTTCTCCTGTGGAGCTGTCTGGCTTCAGCTACCAAAGTCGACGACAGTGTCCACTATATGATCACATTCGAACGAGCTGACAACTTGGAAGGAAGCCAACTACTGGAGGACAATGAGAAAGCGCTAAAGGACGAGAATCACATGCGAATATCTACGCAGAATAATGAAAACTACATTTGCAAGATTCCTGAAGCTAGATCGGAAGTGAGTTCAATTTTCGTATTTGCCTAATTCAATTTTTTTTGTTTTTCGTTGTGTTTATGTTCCTCGGTTTAGTCTTTGCAGAACTTTTTGTCCTCTTTTGTTTACTTTTTAGACAGATATAACCTGAATATACAGTGTAATAAATCTCTTTGCTATGTGCAACTGACAATTTCTGGTGCTGATGGTGTCCGGCTTTCAAGAAACAGTGCATAAAATACATTTCTACACTCAAACACATCGTTCTTGAGTAGATCACTCAGGCATCTGCCATGCTTCACCCGCTTAATCCACTTCATCCGCTTGAACCCTTCGTCATTGGTCAGTTCACTGAACCGTCCAACCGCAAAGCGGTTATCCACTTGATCCGCTTCATCGCTTCATCCATTTCACTATTGGTCAGTTCGCTGAATTGACCAATGATGAAG